ACTAGCTTCTCACTCTGGAACCCTGGGTTTGTGCCCAAGTCAGTCCGTGTGTAATTTGTGGGGGACAAAGTGGCAGGCGGGACAGGTTTTTTCTTCGAGTCCTTTTGCTGTTTCCTGTCCATATTTTTCCACCACTGTTCCATATTCATTCATATATCTGGGGGATGGACAGAGGGCCTGTTAGAGACCCAGTGTCATACAAGGAACAAGCAGTAGACATTGATGGGACTCGCAAACTAAACAACTGGCCACAGCAACCATTACCTTGTAAGTACTATTATTACATGTCTAGTGGTGCAGAACATTCCTTACAGCCAGTAGGCCTAAGCCATTTTTGTGGTATATTTGTACTTGGTCATTTGTTATTTTTATTAATTCATTTAAAATAAATATTTAATTTCGCTTGTAACTATTTTAATCAAACAGTGATAAAATGTCAGAAAATTTCAAAAATGTATGTGGGCCGTGTTTTGATAAAGTGCTTTCCTTTAGTCGAAGTGCTTTTATCCCGCCGTTAACGCTCTCGTACGGACGGTTCCGTATGTCACCTTATGCGTCATTCAGCAGTTTGTATTGGGAAGCAGTGAATTTTCATCAACTTTTATTGTATATGGAGCGTATGCAATTCTTGTAATAATTATGGGTTAGATTGCGTGTTATACTGGGTGAAAATTCAATTTTTTTTTTATTTTCGTTAGCAAAGCCGTGTATGTGCAGTCGGGCGTGGTAAGAATCGTGTATCACTTTTGTAAGGTGGTAAACAATATTTACCAAACCACAGATCAGGAGTCGACAATATGATCCGGGGTTAGGAGACAGCTCTACATTTTAGGCATCAGAGTGGTTAACTTAATTAAAACATTAATATGACTGTAAAAACATGCATCACAATACAGTTCACGGGTGGCATGACTGTCTAGCAGACGGATTTGTCTAGCCCACTCAATGGCCATCTGTCGGCACAAAATAATTATCGATTCTAATAATAAAAAAAGTACTTTTGTGAACAAATGTGTTGGATATCAGTGAACATCAGGGCAGTCCTGATTTGGTTTTATAATCACCTGTAATGCATTGATCGTAGCAAACTAACACTTACAGTGAATCAGTGGATGGCTTGTATTGTGGGTCTCTTGTCACCACGGCAAGATAAGTTTGCAAATTGAAAAGGTACTAAGTAGAAACTGACTTAACGCAGTACAAGTGACTACGCTGTCGGTGGCGAGTTCGAACGAAACACGTCTCGGTGGGCACATTCCACTATCTGTTTCTTCGAGGGAGCATGTCAGGGCTTCGTCGGCTGAGGGCGGTGGTCTCAAGTTCGTGTCGTCTATTGCAGTTAGTGGAAAATGATGGAATTTCCGCTACTCCATGGTCGTTCATCTCTGTTGCAAATGTGGCTGGTGTGCGTAATTCGGTAAGTAACACGAAAGTTTAACAAGTTTGCTTTCTATGTAGGATTTGAGGTTTTCACAGCGGTCAGCGGTGAGTCTGAAGATTGTTTCCCCCATTTTTAGGTCCTGGATATTTGGATTTAAGCTTGTAGCTTTTATGTTACAGCATGCGGAAAGAACTGTGACTCCCGATTCAGTTTTGTCGAATGTGTTTATGCATGTGACTTGCGCACTGAATGAACGTGGTTCCGAGTCAGTTATTATGTGTTGCATTTTGCATCTTTCCTTGGATAAGAACAAATTGTCTGTATGCTGACGCATGTAACTTGTGTTCAGAAGGTACCCGGTTCGAATCTGGCCTGTACACAAACTGTGTTGACAAATATTTGTTGCTAGTTCTCTCGGTTCCTTTAGACCAGCGTTTCTCAACCTATGATATGCGAGCCAGCGTTGAGTGGTACGCAAACTAAGTAAGAAAATCAAAAGATAATATTAACATGAATAAATTATCCCTGAACGCATTTAGTTAGTGGTACATTTAGTGTGTTAAATTAGAATTAGTGGTACGCTAGCGAAAAAGGTGAGAACCCCTGCTTTAGACCATTGTTTCTCAGCAAATGGGGAGAAGTTCCAAAAGTATTTTATAATTTTTTGGTACTATATATATATATATATATACATATGACTGACAGAAGATCCATATAAGAGTGGGTCTCCCATTTCATTCTTACGGTACGACGAACCTGGCGTGAATCAGAGGACGTAATTGAAAAGAAATCTTACGAAAATATGTTGTGATATTAAATTTTATGAAGTGATACAGGATATGATACTTTGGCGGGATTTGTGGTGATAGTAATGAATTTCTGCGTTTCAGTTGAGAGGAAGGGGCTCGTTTCGTTTTGATAACAAGGATGAAACATTTGAAGGTTCAAAGCACAGCGGTCACCATGGCGGTTTAGCAGACATTTTCTTCTAAGTAATTTACCCCGAACTCTATGTTATGTGTGAAGGTGGGGCTTCTTACTCAAAAGCTTTAAACTACACCATTAACCAGGTTGATCTTGAGAGTAACCTAGTTTTTGCCAGTTTTTCTGTAGTACTGTGCATTTAAAGCGGGTAGTACTAAAGACTGCGGGGAAGAAGGGGACAGATCCGACAGGAACAAACACGTTCATCATAAGGTAAAACGGGGTAACTTATTGGTAGTCCACAACTTGTTTAATAATGCAGGTTACTTCAGGACTGAAACCTTGCGGAACATGTTAAGAATGTTTTAGATAGAAATTATTTTCTAGCACCAAGTCTGGTTGGTTTATAGGCATACTCGTCAAAACCCATATTGTTACAATGGAAATTAACATGACATCCCAATTATATTCCAATTTTCGATGTATTAAACAAACCCTGAAAAAAACTGCCTTACTCTGTACCACTGCCCTCAATCCCCACTACTTACATATCGCCATAAAAATCGCAAACCTTCTTAATTTTACCCCTCTCTTAAAAAACTCCCCCACCCCACAAAATCATTCGAATCTGTACACCCCATCAGTCCCAGATAGTAAACCCCACTAGCCATTCATAAAGCAGACATCACAAAGGTAGAAGTAAACAATTCAAGTACCTATAAAACGAATAATACATAATAATATAATTAAAAACATTTGTCTATAATCACAAGTTTAGTTATTCAAAATTGTTAACTTTACAGCATATTAATTTTTATACTTTTATCATACAGCATGACTGATGTAAATTCACACATCCAAAATCACAGTCTACAATATATATATTTATATATATATATACATACACCTGCCATCCTTCAGATGGTGAGTCGTAAGACGACACGTACCACATGCACTGTCTCCCAGAGCGCCAACAAATGTGCATACCTACATCTATCAACAAGAAAATATCTTAATGTTATATTATGCTTGCTGCCTCCTAGGCATGGAAGGACACAAAATCTTATAATAAATATTCCAATAATAAAATCTTGGAATGCAATAAAAGCATATATTCAGTGCATCTGCTCTGATAAAGTGTGGACACTAAGTTTAAGTAATAAATAAAACATATACATTTATAGTATTTAAAAAATGTATGTTTTATATCATTTTTTTTGCATTCTATTGCGGTATTATTTGTTAAAACAGCGTAGATTGGTTAAACAATGCAGAAATTTAGTCACTTCAATTTTATCCACCCCTCTCTCTCTCTGCATTTTGTTGGCATTTATTTCTGCCTCAGTAGAATTTTTTTGTACAAACACTTAACTATGAAGCCTACTGAATAGGAAAGTAAAGATACAAAATCTTAATATACACGTATTTTTCAAATTACATAAGAAGTGTGATGAGAACGGATTATTGCACATAAAACTACAATGAAATATGAACCAATAACTTCAAAGAATTATTCTTTAAAGAGAATTTTATATAACAAATTTTATTTTTACATCACCCACAATTTACAGTCATCTTCCTTAATGAACATGTGTATATCTCATCCTTGTATTTATTTCCATGCAATAACAATTACAGTTATGTTCTAATGGATCATGTTCTTCCAGCTTTTATTTATCGCTTTACAAAAACATGTACGTGCACGCATACACCATCATACATATTTCACAACGTTTTGGAGAACGTAGGTATAATGACTGAGTCTGAAATTAAGTATGCTTATTTAATATTCAGTGCAAGAGCATTAAATGTCAGTGTTCCTGTTTACTTCTAGAGGGTACATGAAATAACTGCTATATTTTTCAGATAATCTTTCTCAATATGTTTTATCACTATATTTTCGTGACTACAACGTAAAGCGTTATTACCTGTTTCAGAAACAGGACATAATAAAATAAAATAAAATGTTTAGCCGATACATGTATGTATGTCTTAAGTGAGACGGAGTCAGGAGTTGGCAGGGCTGGATTAAGACTCTGCAGACGTTATGTTATGATAAAGTTGAGGCCTCTGTAACAATTAAGAAATTATATAATGAATTATTAATAAACATTAAAAGTAAAGTTTGTCCCGCTTGGGGTGAGTGGAGGTATAGCTCCTCTCTTCCTTGACCCCAGCACTAGATGGGTGTGAGTGGTCAGCATCACGCCCCGGCCGGCTTTACCCCCGGGAAAGGACCCCGGTACCCATTGTAGAGGAGGCTGGGTGGGCCCCAGAGCAGGTCTGGACGCAGAGGCTAGAGGAAAAATCCTCTGCCCCCATTAATAAACATTAACAATTTTAATCAAATAATTTCATGGGCAAACCTTTCCTTGATAGAGAATAATTAATAAAAAATTCAGAGAAGTTTGATAGTAGTATGACCAGGGGCCCAACAGAGTAGGCTTCTGTCCTATCACCGGTCACCTAAAGTCAGAAGTAGAGTTTTGGGTTTAAATGGAAAAAATTAGACTTTTTGATAAAGTTCAACAGAGAAATTATGCAAATTTATATTCCTCTCCAAAAAGACATTATTACTTTGTTAGTCTAAAGAACTTCCTAAAGCAAGCTTTCTCACCTTCATGTACCAGTGTATTTTGTGCATTGTGTACATTTTGCTAAAACTATATAATGATGTATAATAATAAAAGGATTGTTATATCGTAAATTTTTAGTATTTTTTAAGATATCAACAAATTTGTTAATTCTATAAATAGATTACAGACATACTAAAAAAAATTGGCACATAATTACATTCATTTCCTTGTTTTCAATTGTACATTGATCCAAATTTCAGACACATGGAATTATCACAGTGATTGAGTTTTGTGATAAAGTACCCATTTTTCATTACAATATGAATTACTAAAATCAAATTGTAGAATCCCATTTCAACCCCCCCCCCCCTCTTGAAATTGTTCACCATAGAGACTAAACTTGACGGAATAAACAACAGATAATTTATATAGAACGCATTTTCGTGGCGAAATTTATGAAACTGGGTTACAATATTTAAGGGATGTTCTCTTTTGTGTGATTTACTTACAACTGGAAGCAATCTACCATGAGCGTTATTGTAACGTATGAAGTGAACTTACCAACACAACCACAGAAACAAGGAAGTGATCATGAAATCATGCATTACAACAGAAGACGTAGCTGATTTCAGAGCACTGATTTTGTTTAAATACATGCAACTTGAATGCAAGTATGTCTTGCACGGTTTAATAATGAATATGTTCTGACGTTGATTATCTTTATTTTTTTCTTATCAATTTTAGTCAGATATTAGAAAATTAATAGACATATCTACCAATATAAAATTTGTAATTTGCACTTTTATTATTTCATAATCTATGCGATATTTGGGAACGACCAGGGGTGGCTGGGACATTGAGGGACGTCTCAGAATAGTAGAAGTCGACTCAACACCACTATGAGCCCTGTGCATACAGCCAGTGTAAGTGATGTCGACATTTTCATTGAACCGTTGCAATAGTCTTTCACACAGGAACACACTTCCTGACGACCTCCAAAGCCAGATCTCTGGTAACAGCGACCCACATAATTGGATTCGTCCCATCCACAGCCGCGGATAACTCGTACATTGGGAGGATCTGAATTCCACAAAGAGAACAGAATTTGCATTTAGATTTGAGGTCATGGCAATGAAGATGTTGATTTTGTTTCTGTGGAGTATGAAGCCATGTAATTTTTAAGTGGTCATGGCACCAAGCATAAGCGCCATATTAAAATTACTCTGCACAGAGTTATTCTGTCTCAGATATTGTGTACGTACTTCCATTCACCTCGAAGTCAATGTTCTGGACTATTTTGCGGCACATTGTGTACTTGACTCCTCCGACGTGTTCGGAGCAGTCCTTCTTGAGATTTTCGGGCACGGGTTCCAGGTTGCAGCGGGAGTCGTTGTGACTGTTGCATTCATAGCACTTGATTGCCAAGCCTGTGATGCAAATCGAAACAGAATGTGAACAAACTTTTTTATCTGATTCCATATCTTAAGCAACTAAGTGGAGCCAAGACTAAGTATTTTATAGTTTCGATACAAAAGTATACTTGATTATCTTATGAATTCAGGTAGGAGTTTATAGTTGTGATTTATACGTCAACATTTCGACCTTCGACAGGAAAGAACGTAGTCCTGTAGTGTAACTCGCATTTGTCTCATCGTATAAGATTGTAACGTGTATATTCTCTGACATGGTGACTATGAAATGGGAACAATAGGACTCTGAATATGTCAGTTTTTAAAAATGTATTTCCTTAAGCTTGTCGAAATATTTTTAATTGTTTTAATAACTGAAAATTTAAATATTATAAATATATTTATAATGACAATATATTAATATTAATAGTAATAATATTCGTCATAATCATAATATGACGGTAGTAATGCAGCCAGCCTTTATAATGCATTCTTACACAAAACGTACTTTATAAGAAGTACAACTGTTGTTACTACCCTACGCACTTTTCAGAATGTCAGGCTACACTGAATGGAGACATGCCTATAAATAACGAGACTAAGATTTCCCGTCGTTTTTGGAAATCACGTTTTGTTATATGAAGAAACATGATAGTTAATGACTGTTCATAACTAACTGTTCCATAGTTGCTGACGTAAAGCGAGCAAGTTTAGTGTCGTTGTGATCTTTTATTAGATTACACTCAATTTATTAATCATGCCCATTACTTCATCCAGCTTTCAGAAGCAATTGGTGTCACCCTATGTCTTGCAGTCTTGATGGCATGTCCCATATTAAATGATCAGCAAAGTACAGACGAAACTGTTAAGATATTATGCCTTTAATTTAGAGGCGAGACTGAAATTTGTTGAAAGCTACTTTACGAGTCACTTAAATAGCATGAAAGTAGATTACCTATTTCGTTCTGTCCACAGTTTACAATGGAAATATGTGGTCTATTCTTATGCAAAATGGAACGGGCTCTACTATTGTACTCGGAAAGGCACCCAGTTCAAATCCATGCGGCATACAGACCATCCTGACTATGGCTATTGGTAGTTCCTTTGTCGTGTCCTTCATTTACATAAACAGTATTCTGTCACTGTATTTCCATGGCAAGGTACGGTTTCTGTTGCTGAAAATCTTCGTAGCTCTGCACAACCTATTCAGGAAAATTCAGAGATCTGTGCATTTTCCTGGAGAGACTGCGCAGAGCTACGAAACTGTGGCTATTCGTGGTTTTATTACGAGCTTATTTCTGTGTTTTACTTAGGCAACAAACCGATTACGTTTTTACCCTTGAAAATGACTTTAATACAAGTCGAAACATATAATTGTAAACCGTGCTGTTTGTGTACATTGTGTAGGTTAAATGAAATTAATTTGTTGCTTATTTGATGAACAACCTCTCCTTTCATTTCAGTATACTTTAAGGTCTTCGGCCATCTCGCTACATAAATTCTTAGCCAGAAAGCAGCAATTAGCACATTTTCCTTGTTAAGTCTAAGTGTGAGATATAAAGTATAAATAGCTTGAAAATGAGTCCTGGATGTACAGTTTTGAAAAACACGAATGTCATCTTCCTGAACCTTCCGAAATAAATCGAAGAAAGTGGAATTCATGTAATACTTGTGCTATGGTTAACATTTTAAAGCCCAGTGATTACTATTTCCCATTTTCTTCAACGATTAGCAACTTTTCGTTTCGTTTTTAGGGGATTCGTATGATTCTCACTGTGAACAGTGATTATTTCCTTAATAGCTTTAACCAGATGATGTTTCTGAGGTTAAATGCTGTGTTTTCTTAGCGGTACAGACCGCTATGTTTCTCCGAAACGTTAGTATCGACCTACAAGATTACTCGGCCACAGTGGACATATTTAATTAGTGCTTTGCGCAATTCATTTCATCTCGACTGTTCACTGAAATAAGACGTTTACCAGCAACAGTGCTAATGGAAGGCATGACGTCATTCCGCATTGACCAAATGAGTTTGGGCGGAAAAGTAAGGGATATCCGGTGGCCTTATCTGTGCAGTGGTCCGTGCAACTGAAATTAAAATATTTCTGTACTTCCATACAGCTACCACTGCTTCGGATATGAACTTCCTACCCGAACATATACCTTATTCGTGTTGTTTCTGCTCTGGGTCACATTTTCTCGGCGATTCCTTGTCTTACTTTGCCGTTCAGCCCTCACCAATAAGACGACGCCGCGTCACAACCCAGACCTTAACCCTGGTTTAAAAACAGCGTCTGACAAAACAGAAGTATCTACAAGCGCCTAAGCGATTCTTTTAGATGTCAGAAAATAAGACGCAGAGAAGAATAGAAATTCATAAGGCAGTGTGAGATGAGGTTTTCATGATGATGATGTTCTGGGTTTTGACGCCGTCCGTAGAGGAAGGCAGCATGTTTCTCAGAAAGGCTGACATATAAGGACGTGTCCAGGTCACACGGCGCCAAAACCCGGAACATCATCACGACAGGCAGTGAATTCATTCGGGACTCAGTGAATTGCAGTAGCCTTGATAAAATATGATAGGGGCGGGAAAGAGGACGGATATGTAGGTCGGTCAGCCCTCGTGTTCCTCAGGGATGGTCGAGTATTGATTTTGTACTCGGCATCCCGTCTCATCCATTTGCAGCGCGTTCCACCCAAGCGGTACTCCGCAAATCGTGGTCTGTTATCACCGTTCCTGAGGTTCTTTTGAGTATTTTAATTGAAATTATTAGTGCCACTGTAAAAACTTTTGTGTGTTCTTCGTGGTGGCGCAGGAGGACATCCTAATTAACGAGTTTCGGTGAGGATATGCCAATAAGACATTTAAAAATGCAATGCTTCAGTCGTTATTTTAATAACTGCGAAACCAATTCAAACAGTTGGTAGGACATTTAAGAAAATTATATATTCTATCCGGAAAAATAAATGAAGACATGAGTAGGAAGAAACTGTAACATTTCTTATGCATTTCTGCAATAATTCTGTACTTAACATTATGTAGTAGAAAAGTGTAATTATTTATAAAGGTATTGCCATGTTATATACTTTAGATACAGATTGATTTTAAAATGTTGAAAAATTTTAAAGACAGGATCAGAACATTATGATCACGTATTCCACTGCGTCAATATGTATATGAATAAAAATTTTCATACGTACTATGTTGGTATTTTTGAATGTATTTATTAAAAAAACATAGCATTGGAAACATCTTCAATAACATGACTCTTTTATATTGAATGTAAATCATCCAAGAGGTTCAAAGATTGTTAGGAGTGTGGACACAAAAATCCGCTGACATGCAAATATTAAGTTCTTGGAGAAGTAAAATTCTAACAGTAATATCGTTATAACTGCATATAGGACTGACCATGTTGTGAAAGATGAAAAATCGGTTATCAAGAACACTGATGAGGTTGCGTGCAACCGTTCATCCGTGCTACAAGATAAGTCTTCTCTAGGACATGTTATTCATTTAGGCTTCTGTTATTTACATAACTGTCTTGCTGTATTTTTATCAGTCTTATCAGCTGCTTGTTTTCTGTAATGCATAAGTTAGAAATAGACGTTTCTCTTTCCAGGACTGGAGTTCCTAAACATCGATTTGCATGTGGTCAATTGAATATATTTAAAACTTTGAACTCGCCCTGGATGTATCCCTCTTCTAATCGAACGTAGCTACAGGTTATGGTGTTTAATCTGTCAATATCTGATATGGTTAGTAGAGGTCAAGGATTTTACCGTGTCTTGGTTTTGGCAACGCTTATATTATTACATAAAGTGAAAGAGATCGTTTTAATTGTGTTATCTTTGTTTTTATTCTGGTTTCTGATTTTCTTGTGAAAATTCAGTGTTTTATTATTTTCAGATTTGTTTACTTCTTGTAAACATTTTTTATACTGTCCTGTTTGTTGAAAATCACCATTTTTCTGATTTCTCTTCTTTGAAAACTCATTATTCGTATTTCTAGCTTGCATTCCTCATTGTATACCTTTTGAACTGACAGATTTTTGTGAAACTTGGCATGAACACCATGCCACTAATTATATATATATCAATAATATAAACATGACGGCCGTGCGACGTATTGAGATGGGAAATATGTAAGTGTCTTTTGCTATAACGCCCTGAAATTCGTTTACGTTTCTAAATGTAAACTTGTCGCCAGCGCGAACTATTTCGGCTTGACCGTAACGAACGTTTGGAACTAAAATATGACATTCTGTATGGCGATACTTTAAAACATTACTTACAAGTTACATGTAACACGTTTTGTATGTTAACAATTACAAGACTGGTTACGTTGCAAAACTTTGAGTTTATATTTAGTCAATTTAACGTAGGAAGAATCTGTAATAATTCAAAATGTGCAATAATTTTAAGTATTGAGAAAATTAATTTGCATTTTTTGCGTCTTGGGATCATTTCGGGATGTATTTTTATCTGTGCAAAGGTTGCATAATCATTAGTTTATTTACTCGTTGAGTGATAGTATTTTATTAATGAAGTTGCATTTCTAGAAACCTGGATTGATCTAGGTGTATATGTTTGTACAACGCTCAAAATGTGTGCGGTCAATGGGCAGAGGGCAGGATTTGCCGACATTTTCTTCTAAAAGCTCTATAAAAGCATAATACATGAATATAATAAAAATGTTTGCTTGTATCGGAATTCCAAAATGATGCTGCCTGACCAGCACTTCCTGCAGTTCGTTTTAAAAACTATTTAATTACCTTTATTTTAAGATGTGCCACGGGTAAAATGACCTCATTCATGCTACAAGTACAATGTATAGAGAAACTCTAGAAAGTACAGGCTGAAACATTTATCGTATCCAAATATAACACTCACTAACAAGCTACTTAAATGATTACTTTTTAAGAGTGAAATGAATTCTGTAGTTTTTAGAGATGCTGTTATAATGAATAATTTCCACATAATTACGTGGATTATGAGAACTTTAGAGACGGTATTTTAAAAGGTTTTCACGATACAATATACAAAGATTAAATTCCATAGGGCATGGAAAAGATAAAATGTAATGACCATGGAATAAAAATACATACAGAGGCAGAGGTTAGAGAATGGGGAAAAACCGAGAATTTAAAGACGAAAACATGGGAAGGCAAATTTTACGCGAAGAGAATAAGCTTGTATGGGAATGTATGAATGAACGTGAGGACAGAATGTCAGAGAAGATTTTAAACGTAAAAGAGAACGGTAAATGCTGAGGAAGGAGACTGAGATCAAGATGACGAAAGGAAGATAGGAAAGATGTCACACAGAAGGAAGAAGGACTGTGTTAAGAGAGAGATTCTTGGTTGTTACGTGACCCACATAAAGTGCAAACGTGATAGAAAGCACAAAAGAATCAATATTCTGGATGAGAATGAGCTTATATAACAAAATTGGTCGCGGTTAATCCTTGTAAATCCAATACAAACTGCACATATTAACACATTTTATATTTTTAATTGTATTATTTAAATTAAACATAATTATATTAGAACCATTATATATCATCGTATGGCCTATGAAAGCTTATAACATTGATAACTCGTTATTTTTATTTTTCATGTAAAAGTGGTTCAGCATTGAACAAATCCACAATTTCAACAGAATCTTGACACAATCAGGATGAATTCTTATAATTGTGAAAGGCAGGATTCCCTTAATCTAGAAACTCTCTTAGAATGATGCAAGTATCTATGATGAAAAACTTCATTGATTTTAATAAATTTAGGTTGTTGCTAAATCCTGACAATAATTCACAGATTTCTTATTAAGTGTAAGCTTCAAGTAGGTAGCTAACAACGCCTAGCTGGATGGAGCTGGCTAATGATGTATTTTATCAGATCGGTTCTGCTGTGTCCCAGTGCATGGAGTACCACTGAACCACGAATTTAAGCTGGCTTATATCTTGACATATACAGTTGTGTTGGCAGTATAACAGAATTTCTGTTTTACCACATTGGATTTATTATTAAAGTAGTAATTATGTATATTATACAATTATTGGATTACCTATAGAAAATTAATGTATTATAAATAAATAGTTCAGAACCCAGCACACGTACGTTAGCATTGTAAAGAAGTTAATTCTGCCGGTTTAATAGTTTAAATCGATCGTCCTCAATCTGCGGCTTTCCAACGTTTTATTTGGTCTACATGATGAGAGAAATAAGTACTACCTAAATTTAATCGTATATAAATACACATTCGAAATTTATAAAAGAAATTATCGAGTAATGTACGAATCTGTTTGTGATAGGACGTTTGTAGCACTTTTAATAAATTAAACGAAGCGGTCCACGAATATGCAAATAAAGGAGAATTTGGCCTCTTAGTATTAAAATGCTGAGAACACTTGGTTTGAGTTGAACATGCAGAAGTACAACTGTCCGTGTAAGAGTACTTTAAAATGTAAATTGAAGTAGACTTACCTATGCGACCGAATACCAGTAACATTGCAAATATTCCAACGACAACGTTGCAGGCAGCCATTTTTTTAGTATTATCGTAGTGAGGACAGACAAATTAATAGATTATCAACTCTTGCAGTCAGTCAATCGTAGAAGACGAGAGAAAGAAACACTTTAATTCAGACAGCTGCACAGGCCAGAATGTTTCACTGAGAACGACGTGGTGAGGTCGCCTGGGGTAGTGAGCTGCAGGAGAGGGGACAGACGCTAGGGACGAACAGGACTCTCGTAGAATTCCGCCATTGTTCATTGATTGAAATAATTTCCACATCGTCAGACGTTTCTCAAGAAGGAATTTGTATATCAGTGACAGTATTTTACGCAGAGACAACTTAAAATTACAGAACTTTGGCACATAGCTCATATGAGGCATACAACTCCATTCTGCAGAATTATATTCTCCAGTCTACGTCAAGGTCTTTTGCATTCAGATTTATAGACCAAAACGTTGCATGCATTTTTCATCTCTCCCATGCGTGCTACATTCTGTGCCCACCTTCAAGGCAATGGAGGCAGTAATTACCTCTAAAACGTCGGTAAACCTTTGCCACATTCATAAACCCTGAAATCTATCCGCCTCAACTTTGGCATCAGATGCCCTTAATTGTTAATACTTGTTTATTAACTTGTCATCTGTCTTAATATTAACGTTTTAAAGTATAAAATAAAGCCGCTGGATGCATTTAGATGCTAGGAGGAACAATAAAAATTGTATTCAGAGAAGTCTGTTTCGAAAAATCGTCTTCGACTGTCACCTGTCTCCAATTTGTTTCTCTGGACTCATCCAATCCAGAATTAATTCTGAAATAAGATTGGAAAGGTGTGTTCTTTGGCCAGAGAGACAGACATGGAGTGCTCATGCTGGAGCGTAAAGAACAGGCAGTAAGGAATCATTAGCACGTCTCTTCAGTTAAGAATCGGGATGTTGCTAGACGTGCACCTGTACAGGACAACATAATACAAGGAAAAGCAAACATACACCCATGACCGGAATTCGAACTCGTGATCCCAGTTTTCGAGTGTCCCAAAACTGATCGTCGGCTGTGGTTTACGGATTCTTCGATACCTATATCATATTACCGGTCAGAATACGACTGTGATGTTCTATTATAACACAGAGCGTTTATTGATGAAGTTTAACCCAACTTAACTGCTATTCAAATATTGCTTCATAAAAACAATAAAATAATCTTGCCGGGATCCATCGAGTGATAGATGTGTTGAACTTTATCAGTGAACGCGCTGTAGATAGGCTATAGAAACTCTTATGTTACATTAATTAGGCTCCGTTAGGTGAACCTCCTTCCTGACTCTCGTTAATAGACGGTTCGCAATTCATCAAGTATCCTTTACCATTAGTGTGCCAATGACGTTCATAGTATGACACAATCAGAAGACGTCTTCAATTCAAGGCTTCTGTTGTATTTACGCATCATGTAAATCAAGCCATCGTTGTTAATTATAGTCATGTAGGATTATACATCGTTTTTAAGGAACATTCAAGGATTGCATCGTGTCAGAACAAAAACCAGAATGTTAATAATACGCAGAATAATTGAGTGTTTGTTTCACTTGGTAGGTTAAACACTCTTGCTACTGTTTACTTAGTGGGGTTTATTAAAGATGCATATAGGAGATTGGGATAAGTCGCGCAATAGTTTAGTAATGGTGTATGATATAAAAATAAGAAATGTCGTTATTTCAGTAACCTAACAGTTTATTTTAAAGAAAACCTGGAAGATCAAGCACTTTATTTATTATTTATTTAGTGTTCTGTCTGACGACAGGTCCATATGAACAGGATCCTTCCATCCTTTTCTCGGACTGGGACCTGTTCATATACGTTCTTGGCAGATGATCCAGAAGTAGTTTGCCATTGCCTTCTTCTGTGTGTGAATGGAGTAATTGTTGGGATGCCACGGAGAAACCGGGGAAGCCCCCGGAGGAAAACTCCGTGTTGCCTAGACCACAGCCTTGCCCAACACAAGTTATAAATTCGGGCACCGCCGGGAATCGAACCCGAGACCCCAGGATTACAAGTGCGTTCTAACCGCTAGACCACCGTGGCTATCAAGCACTTAGCTAGTTTAAAATAACATGAACATTCAGATAGCCCTGTTCCTATTGAATAAGACGATGTAGTTCTGTCAAATGACATAGTGGAAAAGTTCCCAACTGCAAATGACAGCAAATAAATATTTTGTCCAGCCCTCATACACATGCAGTCTGTCCTTGTGGCCGATCTCGTGACGTCTCCAGTTTATAATTGTTCTTCCACCAGGCCTTTAGCTTCAATTTAATTAATTTGCAAGATCGTGTTGCTCTGATCTCTGTGAGGGTCACAGAAACCCGAGTATTACTCACTGGTGTTTTGAAATGACGTTACTAGACATACGATAATTGCTAAAGGAAGATTACAGTAATTTTAATGGAGGTTACTGCAGTGTGTGGCTTGTGGGATTTGATTTACTTTCAGTAACCATGAAATAAATATCGTATTCACTTCAATAAACGTTTTGCGAAGTGTGCAATATATGACACTTCAGCATCTATGTATGCTATGTGGTTCTCTTTAGTGTATAACTGATACTGGCAATGGATTGATTTTGAAGTCTACTTCTTTTGTTTGAACATGAACAAATTTGAGGCGAAACGGATTGTGATATTAGGTTCGCCAGACGATATCTTGTATTATTGACAATTACTGAGGTAATTTAGTAATTCTTCTTTAACTTCAGAGGTTATATCGCGTCACTAAACTTGCCTAACCTAACTCAACATAATCAAATTCAACCAAATCTGACCCTTAGCAGCACAGCATTGCGCATTGCCTCCTACGCATGCGCAGATTTGCCCCGATTGAACCGATCTGCTAAGTAAATTGTGCGAAGTTCATGTGCTTAACAGAAATAGTAAACGCATTATTCTTTGATATTGACATTAATACGTCTCTGCATTTTGGCGTTCTTTTGATGTTACAGTTGATTTTGAGCTGGCTCAGTTAAAGTTCTAAAAAGAAGCTGTTTCTATATGTTAATGGGGAAAATGCTGTTATCAATAATATTTTAGTCTATATTTAAATATATGTAGTAGAGCCATATTTCGTTTGATTACTTGTTTTATAAACTGAAATTTAAATTTAATCCTAGTATCAGTGTGTAGTAAATTTATTAATTGGTCAGTCATTCCGTTATTTTCTCATCTTTACGTCTAAATATTCTCCTTAGGAATTTGTTATCGAAAACTCCTGTTGTATAAAATTTCTTCTCATTTGTATTTGTATCACTTCTGCTAGAATTTGGTCCAGACGTGATGATTTATATATTTTAAACAGTTTGATAGCATTTTAAATTTTGTCAGGGCTAGCTGCAAGAAAACAATGGCTCACCAGTATGCATTATCGTTAATTCAATGTATATTAATTAATAGCTGTTGAAAATATTCCCCTCCTGTCCAAAGTACCATAAAAATATATACCCATGCCTCTGTGAAATCTCTCAGTATTGTTCTTGTGAAAAGGCAAAAAAGAATGAAAACGAACTTTAACAACATCCGAATTTCAAATATCAACTAAGTATTTGTTATTAATAATATTCCATAACATTATAAATGTTTGTAACAGACTTTCAGGAAAAATTCATGGCGTTATGCCATACAAATGAACTCAATAGAACTGTGTACTGAGATTATATTTCACTTGGTAAATCTGTCATTTAGAACGTGAACATCGTTACTTTTAACGTGAGATGTATTTTATGACCGTATATCGGTGGTTTTGTTCAAAAGCAGAAATTTACGTCACTTCTATGAAATAAATGACGGATATTTTAATCAATGTACGGCTTTTCTTAGTAATATGTATACATCTCGCTAGATGGTGCTAATGCAAGGGATGAGGGCAGTTTTAGCTTCCAATCTTGATACCAGATGGCACGACACACACGCATATGGCAGCGAGCTGTTAGTGGAAATGCCGTGCAAAGGGTCAGATGGGCCCTGGTTAGGGGCCTCACCACAGAGGAACTCAAAATTTGGAGAGGACAAACAAAACAGAAACTCAGAAGTCTCAGATATTCTTATTCAGGTTTCATTGGTTTCGGAAAAACGTAATTCATGCCCTAAAAGCTTTTTTCTGTTTTCTCGCCATTCTCTAATAAATCAGAGAAGGAATAACAGTTCTAACATTTTACATTATATTCAGAAGTTCTGTAAATTTGCGTGTTTTGCACATGATGGGAGGGGGTACTCGAAAGAAACTTGGGGCCAGTGATATCCAAATGCCTTAAGACGAGGATTACGACTGTCGCCATTTCTCACTTTCACTTGCGCTGATATGCAAATCTTGAAGTCCCATAAAGTTTCCACGCTTCTTTAATACCGTTCTTCCATCTCTCTTTGGTCTCTCTTTCTGAAGAAAGGAAAGAGGTCAGAGGAATCCTCTCTACCAAAACCTATTTATAGGCCTATGTGTTCTTTGACCGTCTACTTTTTCCAGTCCTCTGCAAGTGTAAGCCTCTTACATTCAATACTTTGAACAGTCGTTCCTTCAACTTCCGTCCTCCTTGTATATCATCGCTTCTGGCAATCTGAGTTCTTGTCCCTCAGAGAAAGAGCTGTTAGATCAATAAGAGCATACCAGAAACATTTTTTTCCTAAAAATAAATCTTTATATAAACCTATCAGTCGTTTATCATCTTCTTAATGCCACCCCACTCTGGCACTTAAATCCGTAAGGCATGGATGTCTGATGGAGTGCCCACTGAGGATCGATTTCTCTGGTCCTCTGACCTGCTGGAAGCATACGTGAAGTCGGTGAGTAGGCGATGTGGATGGAACACGTCGCTACGCCAGTAATGAATGATCTGTGACCGTTTCCAACGTTCATTCATTCATCTGTCAATCACATCAGATGCCAGCCTTCGTGAAATGTTTCCATGTCTCAGAATCATTTCACACTTTTAAGATATCGTCATTGATATTTTTATTTTGGATAAAATGTGCCGGTATTATGTACCCCAACAAAAAAAGCACTGTGGTGACCAAAACATCAGGTTTCGTTTAAAGTAACAGTGAGTCGAAATGTGTACCCAAAAAGGCCAGAAATTCACCACAGATCCTGAAAAATTCATATTTCTAGACATTACAACTCTTTCCAACCCACGTAAACCTGTTTAGTGGTATCTGGTAAGAATTTACGGCCAACAGAGAAGACTGCTATCTTCTGGAATACTAAGTCACGTAGTCTGTTTGAAATTTACTGACGTTTCAGAGGTGCTTGCAGCCTTTATAATCAGGCCCTGATGCTGAAAAGAGCAAGCACCTCTGAAACGCGTATCAGTTTCTATCACACTACACGGATCTACTTCCCAGAAGACAGCCATCTTCAGACACGACTTCTTTATTTGATATCCTTCGTACTAAGGACGAGTGTCTGTTAGGCCCCTGGATAAATTACCAGTCTTTATCATGTCAAGTCGATGATGGGGTCGCCACCTTTCAGCTTACGGACATGCTATAAATATATCTTTCTTACTGCACACCGTGAAAGACCAATGCCATTTTCAGAGCCTTAACGGCCTGACAACATCAAGTTCGTGATTATGGTGTTGATGTACAAAGAAGGCAAAATAACCATCCAACATATATGACAGGATAAAAAGTAGTCTGTTCATAATTGAGTAAGAAATTTCTGGACACTGAATGTTGGTTTAGACTACACACAGTGGCAGGATTTTAACTAGTTATTCTGGTGTAAACTAGTCAACCGCACGCCAAGTCTTATAAGAATATACTCAACTTGTTTTAGTACATCATATGTGAATTGGACTTGATTTATAATGAACAAATTTCTTATGACGTGGTGGAAGATCTAGTTTTACATTGCTGTCTTAGGGCGGCCGCACACCAACTGCGTCAAGACAAACATCAAGACATGAGACAAAAGACGCAGTCTTGCTTCATTCGTGATTCAGACTCGAGTCCGCACACCGAAGTAGCACGTGTCTGCGTCTTATCACATCTTCTCTAGTTGATGACATGACGTCGTCCAGTGAGGAAGATATTTTAATGTACACGTGGCTTAAATTACGTAAAAGAAGGAAAAGGAAGTGGATTCATGACTTTAATGAGTCGTGTGTGCGTACGTTTTAGCGCGCGACTTGTTAAACAATCCGGTGAAATTCCAATCTTATTATCGAATGTCCCCAGAATCCTATAAGGAACTTCTTCAGAGAGTTTCGCAGGATACAAACTATAGGAAAGCTATTAGTGCTGATGAACGGCTACTTAATAACATTAATTATAAGAAAGAAATCACAAAACATGTGCGCCAAATTGTGCATATTTATTTTAAATGTTCATTAGACATGATCGAATCGTTTCACTGTGAAAGTTAAACATTATTATCAACAATAGGGGATTATTGTTGATAATAATGTTTAATTTTAATTGTCCAAAATTTTGAGTACGTTAACCTAGAAAAGGCTACAGTTTTCAATGACATGGTGGCAACTCACATCTGATAACTAGGATCAAAACGTCCATCTCATGGGGAGGGCAATGGCGTACAAGAGCCTGGACTGACTCATATTTAAATAGTGATATTGGGAAGTGATTCACATTACTCGCATTTTGAAAATCAGCGGATTAGTTGTACAACGTGTCATGTAAGTTTTGTTGAACAAATAGTTTGAATGCGCTCTTCTGGGCAGGTGTTAATTTGGCGACATCTGGTAAAAGGCTTTTGAAAAAGCAAAGGTCTGGATTGTCTGACCTTTCTCCAGGTATCCTTTTCGCTTTCGTTTTTGGGTATGAGGTGAAAACCTCATCAATATCCATTTTGGATCTCTCCCTTTTTTTGCGAATTTCGCGTGGTGGAGGTAGCGATTGCATTTCTTCATGGTCGCTCACATTCCGTACTTCTGTGGTGGTGGGAGATACAGGGTCTTCTTCTATTGTTGGGGAAAGCTTCTCTGTTGTTGGAGGAATCTCCATAGATCCCAGCTGCCTAGAATTAAATCGTCCACTTTGAAAATTCATTAATAACGGTTGTGTAAGAAAGTATAATGAAAGAAAGTAAAGAAATAACTCAATTATAAAATCCCCCACCCACCTAAAGTAAGAAACATGTTGCCCTACCTTCGTGACTTCGTAAATGGAGTCAGAAAGGCCAAGTATTCTGCAAGGTAGTAAGGCTTCTTGGGTCTGGCGGCAGAACCACTGACAGGAGGAGTCTGTCTCAAATATCTCGCCCAGCAGTTTCTGCAGTTCCTCCATTTTTCTTTGCAAGAGTTAACTGTAATAGAAATACATGTTCCTTTTTTTTCAGGTACTTAGCTACTCTAAACAGCTTTCAATTTAAGAGAGGTGAAACAACGATAGGTAAAATTGTGGAAGATGTATGTTCTGTGTTGCAGCTTGAATTTATGCCAGTTTCTTCAGAAGAGTTGTGGAAAACTATTTCTGATAAATATTTGGAGCTTTGGAATATACCGAACTGCATTGGCTCCATAGACGGGAAACATATCCGTATTCAGTGCCCCAATAAGCTGCAGCTGATGCGGACGGACTATTTATTTCAGTATTGTCCACAGATGACGAGAAAAACCCTGCTGATGGAAGTCGTTTCTGGTGCGGTGCAGGGGGAATGTTTACTATCAAGTGGACTAGAGAGCTCGTTTTATGTGTGAGTGAGAGCAGACTTGTACGAAACGAGCTTAAGCTCAATGTGTATAATAGTTAATTCAGTCATTAGCTCATTAAAATAAAATTAATCAGTGCACTTACCATCTACGTTTACTTCTTTTGAAACTGCATGCCAAGCTTTATCAATCTCCTCCTTGTTTGAGTGGCCCGGGGATAAATAATCGTATATTACCGGGAATTTCTCAACCGTCTGCACTATTTTAATATTTGTTTGTTCTTCACTCATGTCGATAACTTACACTGGTGCTGTTCCTTGAGTACTGATGTCTCAGTCTTGACGAACAGAAAAGGAACATGCCTTATCTTGCTGCACGTGTCGGCAGCAGGAAGCTGACGTCAGCATCATGACTCAGACCGGTGTGCGGCGGTTTTCATAATCTCATTCGTTTCAACTGTACTCCTTTCTTTACGTCATGTCGCAGACATCGTGTCTTGACTGTTACATGTCTTGACGCATGCCGGTGTGCGGCCTACCTTAGTTTCCGTTGTGTCTGCAGCAAAGATGTGCTCCTAGTGTTTCATTCAAACAGAAGTAACAAAAAAAGTGATTCCCTAGAATGTTACAGATACATTTTCAATTCTTTTACTATCTCAGTTTTTATGAGGCTATTCCAAGTGAAATGATATCAGATAGAGAACAACGATATTTATTATCTAACATTTGGAGATATTATTAAACTTGCCGAATTGTTTATCCAATAAAAGAATAAAACTGAACGTTAGATGCTTCGTTTATCCAATGCTTTCCATGAAGAACACAGTGAACACAAAATTATTTCAAGAAGTTTGAGAGATTTAATTTGTCATCTTGGTTGAAGCCGGCCGCAGTAGCCACGCGATCTGAGGCATGGTCCTCGTGCGCCTGGACACTGCGACCGTGGGTTCGAGTCCCACACAAGGCATGGATGTTTGTCCGCGTCTTTCTGTGTTTGTGTAGGTAGAGGCCTTGCGTCGGGCTGATCACTCATCCAAGGAGTCTTACCATTGTCCAAATAGATCTAAAATGAATAAATAAAAACCTCGACACCTACGGGTAAAAGATAATGAGGGAAGGAAAGAGAGAATGTTGGTTGAAAACTCTTTTAATACGCTTCTTGTGATAACAGATGCAATTAGGATTGTTAAAATGTAGCTTGAATATGACAGTCATGTTTCTCGGTTTCCTTTTCACACCAATAGACTGAAAACTACCGTTGTTAGAATTCTGGGTAGTAACGCCGTGTGGACTTGTGTTTAGATACCAACGTTTCGGAGGAACATATTTCCTGCCACGAACTCATCGCTCGGTATCTACCTACAAGTCCTCACGACGCTACAACCCACAAATCCAACATAGACAATTTGATATCCATGAGAACCTCAAATTTTATAAACCAACAGTTATTTATACATGAAGATTACTGTCTTCTGGGATGTTACGCCGTGAACTGTGGTAGAAATTGACCGACGTTTCATAGGTGCCTCAATTGTCAAATCGATGAGTGAACGGAGCGCGAAATATTTAGTTTGATGCAATGGCATATTGGTCTGGCGATGGAAGCGTTATACACCTCAAACTCTAGTCCATTTCTGCTGGACTACAAGGCGCATCATTGCAGAAGACGGTCGTCATCACAATCGCCGCTGTCAGTTCGTGCAGCCTTCTCTCTGTGCCTTATCTTCTTCCTGGAATACTGTCTCATGTGTACGCCCACGTAACTTCATACGATAGCTCGGTGATTTTTGCCAAGGACCGGAACGAAGCCGCGATTGGCGAGTGCTGATACAAACGTAACAAAACCCGACAATGATCCAAAGCGAAGACGAGATGTGTCTGTGATACATAAGAATGTCCCGAGTGCATTAATTTTTTTGGCTGGTAGTGGCGTCTCTTACACACAAAAAGAGTTGTTGTTTTTTGCGAGACAAGATTGAAACGAATCTCTGGCATTCAGACACAGTTTAATTAATTTAGTTTCAGTAGTATACCAAATTAATTGAGAATATTGTCTAATAAATGTCATCTTGCTGAATCATCGGCCTTCTGGAAGTCTGTAAATAAGAACATAAGATGACGAAGTGTGGATTTTTAAGTATTATCTACCAGTCGGGACAAGTATTTCACCTGAAGACCTAAATGAACTCCCATCTTTATCAAGTTAAATACATCATATCTGTAAATTTCATTAAAAAGTAATAATGAAATTTTTATTGTACCAGACATGTATTTTTCGAAACTTGTATAATTTTTAAATATCTCATTTGAGCTGTTTAAGTATCAATGTTTGCTGTAGGCATGCTTCTGTATGCTAAATCCGAGATACAGACTTTGATACTGTGAAAACAGATGAAATTGAAGCGCTTCTGATGCCTGTTAACACATCTCGCTGGGTCAGAGATGAAAGGTCGTGCATTGATATCGGAAGTTATCTTCGACTGTCGACTTTGGTCTTCTCGGTCACAACGCAGTGTGGGATTGTAGGTAGATACTGTTGTTTAACTTTCAGCCCTGAAGATGGCGGCAGTATTTTCCTCCGAGTCTTTGGTATCCATTTACAAGTCTACACGGCGTTACAATCCAAAAGAAAAACATTACAAGGTCGTATAGGATGTCAGAATTTTTACTGCAAGTGAAGTTTGCACATTTCGTAATGCGGAGACAGAAGAAAGGAGAGAGAGAATGCAGAAAGAAGCTTTCTCTCGGTTACTTCCAGACATCTGATAGGAGAAGGAAGAATTTCGACGTCAAAGAGGTTGCCGCACACACTCGGGAGCGTTACGTCAACATCGCAGAAAACTAGAATAGAAATGAAGTTTCAGTTTCAAGAGAACGTCCGTTGTAAAAGTTGTCTTTGTACGTAACTACGTTTCGTCTGAGACGAGAAAATATAGTTTTATATTTCAATATAAGGAAAGAACAATAAATCAGATATTTTATGACTGGAGATTTTTATGACGGGGAGTCTGTAAGTTTGTCTGTAAGTTTGTCTACGATGTTTTGTTTTTGTTTAGAGTACTCAAGCACTTTGAAAGCCTGGAGCGTTTTAATTTTGGTAGATAGAGCGGCGATTTAATATTGGATTTCCACTTACTTGCACCAAGTATAAGTCAGTGGCGACTGCTGCATTTCGGTCCTTTATTATTACAATAAATTATTTACTTGTACGTATATTGTGAACACCAAATTGCTGAATTGAATGTACATTCAGACAAGCCTTTTCAGAATAAATTATTTGTATTGTTTTTCAAGATTACACCTCCCACTACAGAATTATGACCGTTTCTGTGCAATCTCGAAGATATTGTTTCGCAGAGAAGTGAGAGCCAACTATCTTGACAGCTTTTAGTTTTATTTCTGTTTATGGATAAGTAGAGGACGATGAACATAAAATCTGATTCATATGTCGGTATCTATGTCCAATGTAGAAAATTCAATTTATTTTCTTGGAACAAACAAATAAATCGTATTACTTCTTTTGTCTCGTTCCAGAAGACAGTAATTTGTCGCAGATAGTTTTAAATATCTTGTGAGAAATATTATAAATTACTTTATTTGTTTCTCGGCCCTCAAAAGCAAGTCCTTGTACTTCCACAATTTGGCAAGCGTAATTACGACAACATTAGTTAAAATCAGAGAGTACATGAAGAATTCTTCGTGACTTAGTTCAACCGAAGACACGTAACTTCCCTTATAATACATGAATGAACTCCTGACCCTTTATTAGATTGGAACTGGTTTCGTCGTTTTTGGAAATTTAGCTATAAAATCTAATGTATCTGAGGCTTAACGATATCAGTCTAGTGAGATCGGTTTCAGTATCCTACTGTATCGCAAAGTCGTTTACACGAATAACATTTTGATCGGTTTAACAACAAAGTGGTTCGAAACTTAATCCAGTAACTTAAGTTAGCTGCTGTTACAATAGTAAATTTAATTGTAAAGTGGTTAAAGGCTCAGGAAAACGTCTTTATGGACATGGCATATTATCAGCCTGAAACATATGCAACAATGTGTACACGCATTAAATGCTTTTGTTGTGTACATTTCAGAAAACTCGTATAAATGCTCAGTTATTCTTTATTTACTTCGTATAATCGCGTGTGTGTAACTGCATTTACGTTACGGTAGAAACTAAATATACTTGTGTCTATGAACCCACAGGAACTTAAAATCACGTAGACGTCAGTTTTAAGCTCCAGGCGCTTTTCATCTGGAGAAAGTATCCCACTTACGAAAATACGAAGAAGACCTTTGTAATTTTTTTTTTTACCACATATCATTTGGTTGATTAAGTCACGGAGGATAAGTAAGCTGGGAAAGTAGCATGCATAGGGTAGACAAGAAATGCATAAAAATTCATTCGCGACATTATAACAGAAGACGACTTGGGAGACATAATCAGATGGTAGGATGATGTTAAAATTGGTTGTAAATAAATAAGGTATGAATGTTTGTACAGGATTAAACTGGCTCAAGATAGGGACCATTGTCGCTGACACTTGTGCTACCTTTAGGTTTTATAAATATTAGGGAACTTGATCAGAAGTTTAGCTGCTATCAACTTCTCGGGGAGGACGTTTTCCATGGAGGTGGTCGTTCAAAGTTAGTTTCCCATTGCGCAATACGTCACGAAGGAGTGAGGCAGAGCTCCAGGAATTAATATGTAACTAGATGGACAGTGAAGAGTTACTTTAATGTTTTTGCCGATTGACCCCCCCCCCCTTTTTAAGTTGATCCTGCTGCTCATTGGACAGGAGGCTGGATTGACACTGCAGGAGATAAGGGCTAATGGCAAAACAAAATTGTCCTGCCCTTTCCAGGAATCGAGCCACGTCTTTCAGGTCCTATCTCGGCCAAAATTTAGTTATCAGCAACGCTGTATAGGAAGTAGAGTCGAAGAAGCAGCTGAAACAACGTCGGAAAATGTTAAGGCGAGATGAATTTTAAAATGTCATCCGGTATTTGCCTAGGACTGACGAAAACGAAGAGAAACCACAGTCAGAATTCGAACCCAACGAATTCAAGTCAGGATCATTGCCGCCAAGCTTAATTACGTTTTGGGTGCAGGGGTGGAATGATTTTGGTACATCCTGTGTAGTTGTCTGGATTTTGAATACCCCGTGATATTTATTTACAGGTGCCTCTTGTCTAAATCCACCGCCTTCAAGTTCAAGCTTCTCTTTTCATTGATATGTTTACACCAAAAGTATGGATTTGATATCTACATTTCCAGAACTACCCACGCCACCTTCGATAAAGCTAACAAACACCGAAAAAATCCCAAGAAAAGTTCACGACGCAGATAAATTCTGCGGTATTTGCTCTGAAGCTGGAGAAAAAAGCAAAAGGTCCTTTTTGTAGCATAGAATTGCGTCATTCGTGGAGACTACAAGACGCGGATGTGAAACTCCACAAATTATTTGATGTCGATACTGAAGATTCTAAGAAGTAGCGCGTTTGAATGTTGACGGGATTATTCTGTTATTTGATCCTTGAGTCTTCACACCATTATCATAGTAGCTACTGCTTACAACGAGCATAGAGCAGTTAACGCAGACCATAACCGACACGAAGGACTGACGCAATAGGGGGGGGGGGGGGCGATTTATGTCATCAACTTCTGCTGCTGACTGCGTTAGCTTACTGCTTAGAGGTGCGAGTGTGGAAGAATAATACGTCATTTAGAGCAACGGCCAAATGTATTCTAGTTTTGATATTCAAAAAATATATGTATCGTTTATGTATATCGCCTTTTTCTTGTTGATGTATAAACATTCCGCTGTAAATCGACGTGTATGAGCCGCGTCGCAGGATACATTCAGTAGGTATCGTTATTAGTTTTTATCTAAATCATTTTTTGTGCAAATTTGGTATAATGCACGAAGTTTTAATGAAACTCATTTTTTTTCTCGCACGTTTATATTTAGATTCCCTTAAAAATGTGTTTGGCCCCTTAGGGCCTATAACCGATCACCTTATTCGGTTTTGATCAGCTAGCTCAGGGGACTTCAGGGTCGCTTACGGGGATCACACACACACACACACACATATGAACCAACAACTGCGTCGAACTATATCCATCTTTATTACGTCTCCTTCCTTGAAGAGACTCCACACTAATGATCCTGAGAAACTCAACCACATTTGCTCACACAGCCCTCATTAATAGAACAACTACAGTACACAATCGTAAACATATGCTAGATATCACGAACAATAGAAGCAGAGTAAGTGCACGGACATCAAAGCAAGGTCCCGCTGGTTACAGGCCACTCATCAGTAAACAAAAAGAAAGTTTCTAATTCTGAGTAAAAGCAGACCACGGTGGCTGATGCCCGAAAGAAGAAAAAATGTTTTAAAGTAGCTAGTCTATATTATATTTAAAGCATTAATAACTTCAAACGATGAAATGTTGCAGGTTAAAGTTGATACTTTATCATCCATCGCGATGTCCCTCTTCAGAAGGTAATAGTCTCCAAGTTGGTTAAGTGAATCCTTATCTGTTATTGAAACGATGTTTCTTTACCATGTTTACAAGACGTCTCCATGTGATTATATCATGTTTATTTAAGATTTTTTAATATTATCCTCCCATCTACGCCTAGATCTCGCAAGTCGAGACAGTACCTACAACATTTATCTGAAGAAAAAATAACGAAAGACAAATACTTTCTTGGCGTTTCTTGGGTTAATATAAAATTCATGATTCAAAAAATTCTTTGTCGATTGGGGGGGGGGGAGATTGAAACCTGATTTTATCGGAATTAACTTGGAAAGCACATGCTCTGGTTATAACATAGAAGTTCTCTGCTGTGACACAATTTTTATTTCCAGCATTGACATTTAGAACAGCTGCTACGACCAGTAACAGATCCTGTGCAAACCGGACGGGAAAAAATTCAAACTAAACCCAGAATTACATAGTTGTGATTTAGATAAGCTCATGTGAATTGCTGGAAGGGGTATTAACTGACTGTCTTAAATTGAGACGTTTCTTTACAATCACTTTCAGTCTCTGCTTGGTCCACATGGATAAGTGACTTCCAGTTGAATTTAGGTAGCATTGAAAGTCTCAGTGTGGTATGAAGTAAAGTGATCGGTGCTGAAGAGAATATCTTCGTATGACTGAGAAGGTTTATTATCTTTTTCTTGTGTGTATCTGTTCGTGTTATAGCTGATACCCGGAGTATGACAAAATAAGCAAGTGAAGATGAGCAGGGCAAATCGATAATGAATTTAAGTACTAGAAGTTACAAATTGGAGCAATTATACCTTGCCTGTTATTGCGAAATTTCGTTTGTATTTGTTTCTCAAAGTGACGGTCTACACTAAGGTTTCCGTGATAAACACAACGTTGTTTTGTTTCTGCTCTCAAGATGTGGCACTGTGTTTCGATTTATTTAGAAGATTTTAACTATAACCTATCAAATACTTAGGTTATGTGCTAATGTATCTACGATTTCATTTTATGAAATGTTTTGGAAAAGAAATTAACACATTTATGTTTCATTAGACATTACAAATACTAAAATTAATTATTTAACTAACGTTGATTTAAATGTACACAGTGTAAACAAAATGTTGCTTTTCTATTCTTAACAAAAAAAATTATTATTATTTAAAGACGCTGCTTCAACTGCAAAATTTATATAGTGTCGAATAATATGGGATGATGAATAGTGCGTTGCTGGTCTCCAGAATTTTCCTGCATCTCGGAAACTAAGGACATTAGTAGAACGGTACCAAGATCAAATGTCTTTGTATCGGCAATTAGATTACGTGAACAAAGGCCTCAACATCGAAGAAGTGACCTGGCTTCTAACCTCGATGAAAGTAGTTTCTTAGTTTAGCAGCTATGCTGGGAACCGGTCAAAAAGTCTCACGAAATTGTCAATCATCAATTGTCAACAGCCCTCTTTCGGACACTAGCATTAGGTTAGGCTAGTTTGCTAGTTTCCAGACTAATCAGGACTAATACAGTTAAAATAACTTAAAATAATCCAAACGAAACCAATCTAACTCATCCAAAATTAATGTATCTTAACATAACATAAACAAAATAAACCACATCTAATGTAGCGTAACGTAACGTAACATAACAAAACCTAGCCTGACAGAACCTAACCCAACATAAACTCTGCTAACAGAAGATAAACCAACAGAAACAAAACGAGCCAAACACAACCAAACCTAATATAACTCAACATAAAGGAACGTAAATAAACGAAACGTAAAGCAATGCAGTCAATAGAGCAGAACAACAACACAATACAAACGCAACCAAATCCAGCTCAACAAAGCAAAGGTGACCTAGCTTAAGTTAACGTAGAATCGCCTAACATATCCTTAATTTACCTTACTTAAAACAACCTAAAATTACACATAATTAAATAACGTTAATGCATTAGTTATATGTGTATTTTAATATGAAAATAGCTACTTCTTGTTAATTGCAGTCACTTGATTTGGCATTGTTTATATTTGAAGAAGCCAGAGAAATAAGTTAAAAATTAGTGATATTTATTGTCTCAAAGTCCTGTTTGCGTTGTGGCCCTGCCGACTGTTCAAATCAACTTGAACATTGTCGTCTGTACAGAGTGTTCTGAGTGCTCGTAAGGAGAAGCCTAAACTTCATTTAAATGTGACTGATTCCTGCTATTTAAGCTTGTCGCTTGCTCAGGGAAAGGAAAATTGTATCCTAGTCAAAGGTAAATGTTGATATTTATGTGATACGTAGTCTTCAACACTTACGGAAGCTGCTAATTGTGTAGTCTCTGTGTCAGTAACATCAATCAACATTTATTATAATACGTACCTCTTACGGATCTAAGTTGTGTTTCATTGTGTTTAGTGTTTCAAATAAAAAAAGTAGTTAAAATTCTGTAAATTATTTCTTCTGATTTGTATTTGGGAGGTACTGGGTTCGATTTTCGATGGAGACCAGCTATTCTGACTGAGTTTTTATATCGATTTTGTGTTCTAGCAGCCTTTAAATAGACCCTCGACGAAGTTAGTGAAGCCTCCAAGGTAAAAGACTGTTATTGAAACAGCGCTCGCGTATGTATGCATGTATGTGTGTGTGTGTGAATTCGATTGCGACGTTTATGCACAAGTTCCATTAAGGTGGTGTTCGATATCGCAGGAAGACGGCTGAGTAACTGGGTTACTCTACTTCTCGTCTATTCAGTTGAAGTAACTTCCAAAGTTCTCCGAGGGGCAAAGGGGATAGTAATGGGTAGATGTGAATTAATGGGGCGGAGGGAGTGTCATTAGTGGTGGAATTAAGAGACAATTACCTTGGGTGGTAATCGATGTCATAACATTTAAGGACTGTCGTTATAATCCACTCGTTTTTATGTTGCGTGCTTCTCTGACAGCTGTCAACGTTCTTGAAAGTGAACGCGTTGTAACTGCCAAGTGCCTGTGTGTAATATCCGAAGGTCGCTGGATCTCATGATTACAATTATTGATTCTGTTTCTATTTTCCAAGTGGATCGCTGCAGCAGTAGAGTTTATACGCTTGTCTCTTAACAAGGACACTAAGATAGTTTTTGAAATAGGTTACAGCTGAACCCTTTAAAATATTCACAATTTATAATAATTATCCCATTTAATTCGAGACTATATAGCCGTTGCATTTGAAACAGCGTCGTTAAATACTATAAGATTCAACAGTCTTAATGATGTCCGATTATTTCCTTGAAAATCCATGGAAAGCTCATTTGTTTTTATGTCGTGGATGGACTTTACACGTAGCTAGGATGGAGGAATTGTAGTGAGAAAACTCTTGGAAAGTGGCTTGTTGGAAAACCGAACAGAAGATGGAATTATAATATCTGATAGCATAATAGAAATGGCCAGCCCTGAAGATGAAGACCGTGTGTTTCTCTGAAACGTTGGTATCTGCTATGAAGTTACACGACGTAATAATCCAGAATAACGTCGCTATAAGAACCTGAAATCTCACATAAACTTGTGATGTTTCTTTCCCACATGCATTGTTCGCCAAAATAATACTTTCGTAAATTTGTTGGTTCACCTGCACGCGCGAATGTTTTCAGCCAAGTGACTTCCTTCCTATTTGTATGCGTCACCCACACCCTGCAGCGTGGATTATAAATCAGGATATTCTTAGCGTGACGCAAATCCTGTAACTTCGTTACAGATTGATACGAGAGATCACATCGGTAGCCGCATTGCCTCGTGCCTCGTGTGGCCGCCTGCCTTAATCAGAGTGCCGCATTCTGACAAGTGTTGACAACGGGTGCTCATCAAATTGGGAACAATTTACTATTTGAAGTCTTCACGACCACGAACACGGGTTGTAACACTGTTGCGTTACAAGACATTTACGATGTTTCGGAGGAAAATACCGCATTCATATTCAGGGTAGAAGTAACACGAGTCGGTGTTTATTGGTATTAGAGGGTAATATTAAAATTGATATTAAAGAAATTTAATGAGGATGCCGATTGGATAAATCCAGCTTGGGATATAGTACAAATACTGTTTTAACGAACACGGTAAATTTTTAACTAGATGAGCAACTGTAATATTTCTAAGAGCTCTTACACCATGGAGTTGTAGTTTTGAAAGGGAAGAGCTTCAAGCCGTTCATAGAACCATGAATTTTTATACTTATTCTGTTTAAAATCTAAAACTCTTTAATACTCTTTATGGCCAACTTAGAAAGCTTTTAATTTTCCTGTTGAGATCATTAATCCTTGTTAACAGCTTAAATTAGATTTCTGGTCAGTGGCTGCTGCTGGGTCATCTCGTCAAATAGCAACCTGTACTACAGCATGTGACAAAACGTTGTATCTTAAGGATACTGTTTGCCTAAAATTGTTCATTTAACATTTATCAGCACGCTCCATTTTCGGTTTTATCAAACAATAACGGACACATCACATGAAGACCTACACGCGGTTCTGTGCCCCGGAGTGATTTGGTGGGGAGTCCCTAGGCTACTTCAGTTACCATGGCAACCAAAATAACCATATTATTATGAAGAAAAACGACACATTTGATTACTTCGGTGTTTCTTATACTGAATAAAGCGATGAGTGTTTCTACTTCGTGAGATTTCAGGTTCTAAACTTTGGCGAGAATGAAGATTTAATTTCCAGAAAGCCGAAAAATATTTACTGAAAGTGTGGAGGGATGGTAGAAGGGTTTATTAACCGATAATGTCGCACATCGTGGGATTATAGAGATGAAGAATCAGTGTCAGAACGAAATATCTTATTTGTAACGTAAAAATCGTTAAACAGTTATTCGGTGACAGCGAACTTCTTCGTACGACGTGTCCAAAATTTAGTGACGCAGGTAACAGTTCGCTGGTGGGTGGGTTATCAGCCCTGCATCGTTTACAGGAGCAGGATATTGGATGTCCGTTGCTCATTTCGCAGCTTCCGCAGTTCTTGCAAGTAATTTTCAGAATGGAAATGTGGGGCGGACAGGGCACATCCGCCCATAAAGTAATCTTCTTCAAGGATTCTCCCGGACAACGGGTAAAGTCAGGCAGGTTCAACATTTCTATTGTACCTAGAAGCATGGGTCACGTCAGACTGCATTGTGCATGCTTTAGTTCAGGGTTCACCTGCGGCACTCCCTAATTTATGAAAGACACTGACGGAACACCACAAAATTTCGCCTCACGAAATAAGAATACAAAACTACACATGAATTCTTAAGTGAAAACAAAACGTAACACATGTTAATTAAAACTATCGATGACGAACCAACGCGTTTGTTTGATTACGAAAGGCAGACATAATGTCTCACACCCTTAGTGTATTTTAGTAAAGAAGGTATACTTTTATTACAGAACTACATATTTTGGGAATAAATGTTGCACTATGAAGATGTGGAAATTGGTTCCTTTCTGAAGGAGAAGAATATAAATTGAGGACGTCTGAGTAACTGTAAGCTTGTAAGATTTGAGGTTTTCTGTCTTCTGGGTTGTTGCGCTGTGTAGTCTGGTCGATGTTTACCAACGTTTCAGAGGTCATACTGCCTCCGTCATCAGGGTATGAAGATTTCTATCTTCTGGGTTGTTGCGCTGTGTAGTCTGGTCGATGTTTACCAACGTTTCAGAGGTCATACTGCCTCCATCATCAGGATTATTCAGCGTTACACACTTTCAGTTTTATTTACGTATTTGGAGGTTAGTGATTGTTGCTTTCAGATTTCAGGAAGAGAATTAACGTTGCTCCAGCAACCATGGCAAACCTTAGTACGCGTGTTGTGATGAAAATCTCTATCATGGCTGCCGTTCTGTTTCTCGCAGTTCAAACAGGTGATGTATCATTATGATTGAATTACCAAGAAAAACTAGAATATTATGTACTATTCAGGACGACGTTATTTTAGGGTTTGTTGTGGAATTTACTTCATGTAATTTCACGGGTTTTACATTTTTGGATATTAAGTTTACTTCTCGATTATTAACCTAACTACGTCATCTATCAGCTTTATCCCTTTATTTATTTTGTTCAAAATTAGAATACAGAATATGTAAGTCTTTGTGAAAATTGCGACTTTGGTCAAAGATGAATGGAGTCTAATGTGTTTATAAAAAATGTGCTCTTGGCGAGTCTTGACCGGCTCAACAGCTGATACCTATCATCCAACCATTGTCAAAATGGCGCCAGAAGGAAGTGTGGACGCGGTGCAGTAACGGAACATCGCGTGACGCCGTTCCGCCAGCTAAGCGCCCTCAATTTGTTGCAAAGCCTTTGCAAATGATTGATGATGTTACGGATGACTGAGTACGTGTAGACAGGAAATTCCGCGTTTGATTTTTCATGGGGGGGGGGAGTCGAAAAAATCACGGAAAAAGAATACATTTTAAGTGATTGAGGTCAGATGGGGATAAAAATGCTTCATCACAGATACAAAGCTACTAAGTTGTTTCGCGAGTTATAAAATAATAACTTTACACGAATATTGCATATAAAGTAATTAATGTTCAGTTATAAGCACGTAAGTTTAATTAGTCAACTGTTTATAGATTGGTACGCCTTGTTTCTATCACCAGTGCAGGGTACTGATAATTTTTCACTTTGGTACAATGCACGAAAGACTCTGGGGCTGTCCTAAGACATGAAGTCTAATCGGTAAAAGTAGCTTTTTGCATAGATTTAAGGAGGCTGCAGTATATGAATTTCGAGATTAATAATGCATGGAGCTTGGGAGGAGTGTATAATTTATAAATTCTGTCTCATTCTAGGCAGAGAGTTGTAGTCATTAAAATGTCGATTTTGGGCTTCTGGGTTGTGACGTAACTTCTCACTGAACGCCACGTAGTTGGCACAGCATCGGAACAACACAAAGGCACAAAAGCCTGAAATACCCTGACTTGAGATTCATGTTCGCATAAATAACATTGGAGGAGAGCTTAATGACATGAATCTATTGCAGCGAATGCCATAATGTGCTACCAGTGTAATTCCGGGAGGGATCCAGGATGTGCCGACCTTACAAACAAGAGCTCCAAAAGTTCCTATTACAGGCTGTGCGAACCGTTCGAGGGTCAGACCAAACCGTTCTTCTGCAGGACCAATGTACAGACGAGTGAGTCTCTATCTTAACAAGTGGACACCTCTCAACTTTCGTCGTCTTAAGACGGGCAACATTTCTAGCGCAGTGTTCGCAGAAGTAGCACTTCTGAAGTCAGCCTCGGCCGTAAAGACCCCATTCAGCCCCCTTCCCCCTGAGTTTCCTCACCAGAATTTTCGTGCCTTTATTTGTATCGCTTTCGTTTCTTTCAGCCACTCGTTCTTACCGTCTTAATTTAATTACATCAGTAATCATAGGAGGAAGTTATTCATAACAAAGTACGTTATTTTCATCGTTATTTACTTATTGGAGTAATGACTATGTTTTTGCACTCATATGCTATGCAGTTGTTATACGCCATATAACTGTTTTACTTCTACAGTTATGCCTTCGTAATCACGTAGAATTTTTAGGACACAAAATTTAGCTACAGGAATATTAACAAGCAACAGTCGATTCATGCAGAGAGCAGATACGCGGACTGAGGCTATGTTGTTCAATTCAGTTCATTTATTAATGAGCTTGACAAGTGCTGCACAGCCATTTACAGAAAAAACATAATTTAAATTTTAAGTAACTTCCATTATTATTAAACATATTTAATAAATATTTGGTTACACTCAGTTACATTTTCAAGAAACTGTTTTTGCTCGTTTTATGTGTCGGTTTGTTTGTTTGTTATATTAGGTAATTTTAATTTTAATATTTGTTTTATTGATTGTGTTAATTAATTTTGTTTTTATTTGGTTTTGCTGGATATTTAACTGGAATTTAACGCAGCACATTAAATAAATCACTTTATTATTAATGCTTAATTGCTATTTAAGTCTGAATTGTTTAAATTTTGGAACTCTTTATTCCAGACGACATATAGAAGCTTTATTTCTTACTGATATTTACAAGGTTAAAGTAAATTATCCTCCCATCATGAACACTTGGTATTCGTTTGCCTACAAGGCAAATAAGATGATTTTTGCTTTCGACATGAGGTATTCATTAAGACGTAATCCTTCAGATGGATGCGCCATTGCTGCTAACGAATTATACAGATTTTTGGACATTTTTAGCAAAAACAATGTCCCCTTCCAAGACATTTTTTCGATACGGGGAATTTTTTAGATTTATTTTATGTATTTAATTTAGTTTAATTTTTGCTTGTTTCTGTTTAATGTGTATTTATTAGTTCTTGCCTGCCATAAGCTCACTGATGCGGGCATACATTCTAATAAATTAATTGAATTGAGTTACGATGTGTTGTAGTAAAGGACCGCGAAAACTTGGTGCGTGTCGTGAGGTCCTGCGGGTGGGAGGAGCACCCCAGAAAGAAGTGCTACGAGTATGAGGACGAAGACCACCAGGAACGTGTCTGTCAGTGCTCTGAAGACGGCTGCAATTCAAAGGCGCCTCACGTGCTAAAACCGTCAGCACTGTCGTTCCTGGTGAGCCTGCTACCCCTAGCCCTAATTCACTCGTCACTTGTTTAACTCTTACGCATCCAGTGAGCCGACAAGTTTAATGTTTCGTTCCCAAATGCTGTCAAAAGAGCCATATGTAATATTACAGAGTGGTATTTTAGAAGATGGCTGTCTTCTGGGTTGTTGCGACGGGGCAGCCATCTTCAGACTCACATCCGTGAAAACCTCAAATCCTTCACTGGTATTTTTATTTTCTGTGACCTATTTTGTGTATTGTTTATTTTAAGAAAGAAGTGGAAAACAACTGGCATTTCGACATTTGATATATTGATTTCTAGCTGTCGATTTCTGTATGAGGTGACAATAAAATATTTTGAGACTTTATTCCTGTGGACATATTTCTTGGTAGTAAACAAAACGCGTAGTCCTCTCACGTGAAGGATAAAGTCACGCGTGTATTTTTTTTCAACATGTCTTGAGAGGACTTTGCGTTGACATACTGAACAGATGGTTCATTATAGTGATAAAATGTATTAAACTAACAGTTTGATACCTGTCAATATCACTGTATTAGAATAACAAGCGTTCAAATCAGATTCACGCAAAACACGTGATAAAAACGTAAAAAAAAATAGTACAGTTTATATTTTTATTATTATGCGATAAATAAGCCTGATAAACTGACATATTTTCAAAGATGATGTCACCAATGTAATACGGATAAACGTGCCCATAATGAGAAGTGCAAGAAACACATGTAACATGTATAAAAAGTCTGCAAGTACTGAATAGACATACGATGCTGCCTACAAGAGCTCACATTTCGGTTTTCAATATCGTTATCTACCTGCAAGTCCACCCCACGTTACAACCAAGAAGTTCAACATTAAAATATTAATACCTTTGATATCACTTACAGCCGCCAGAAAATTGTATAGCACACGGATATGTCAATTGACATTAAATTGATGGTAATCACTGAATTTTAAAAGTCGTGTATAATTAAGTTTTGGGCCCATTAGACGATTTATTAAACTTGATTGTGAAAAAGACTGATACACTTTGAAATTATAAACATTGTTAGTCCTGCTAACCTAAGATTAAAAAAATATGTTATACATATATATATATATATAATAACAAAGGAGGATAAACTCTGCTTGGTTGTCCAGTTACCAGTTAAATTGTAAAAGCAGATTATAAAAATGCCTTGACAAGTATGAATGTCATAATGTATTTAGGAGTACCACTGGTTGCCTAGCACAAAATATTGTATACATATCATGAATGTATATGCACTGAAAATATGTTGCTTTGTATATTAAATTTTATGTTACCACTCTAAAACCTATTTTTTATTTATTCACACACGCCCATTCTAATTTATGATACAGCAAATTTGGACACAAGAACAGCGGAATTATTCTGAGTGTTAACATAGTTGTACTACGTAATGGGTTTAGTAATTTTCGTCTATCCCAAACGGCATGGCTATGATCATTTGCTCTAAAATGATTTTCAACTGGTCTTTCTTAAACCAGTTACTTCTCAGCAGACTCTTTATACCAGTGGTATTCAACCTTTTTTGTTCGCGTACCCCCAGATATAATTTCTCTTCAACTTTGTACCCCCATAGTTGTTGGTGTATAATTCAAGTTATACATAGTATATAATCTCCCAAATCGAATGTCCCTACGTCCGGTTCTCCTTTGGCTAACCCTAAATCTGGCCCTGATTATTCAGTGTTTATCATAAAATAATACATATTTTTTTAAAATTTCACGTACCCCCTAAGATGTCTTCGCGTACCCCCGGGGGTACGCGTACCCCAGGTTGAATACCACTGCTTTATACCATCTGCAATAGACATAAAGTTGTGAAATAAACCAATAAATAAATAAATATGAACTCTTAGTAAGCACTATAAATGTTTCCCTGAGCTCTGATAATGGAGGCAGTAAACACCTCTGGAACATCGGTAGACTTCTACCGGACCATAAGACGCAACTACCCACAAGAAGTCATCTTCAGAAACAGTCTTTGTTACGACATGGATAGAACATACATATGGAATAGAGCCAAATACACGAGCTCAGAATTAATTCCAAGATAAATTGTGTTAGGTTTGAAAATGTAATTACATTTTGGGAAATAATGTAGTGCCTTATGACTGTAAATACTTTATTAAACCCATATTACTTCCGCCTCTGAAATACTTCCGTTATGCATGAGTCTCTGTCAACATTTTCGTTTCGATAGATTTTATTATGTGGAACAAGGTAGGAGTGCCAAGTCGTGAAATTACATTTTGGCAGCGTGAATATCACAGTGAAGATATTCCAGCAGATGGAAACTGCCGTTACAAATAATATATAGCTGCTCTACTTCGTTTCTAACAGAATAAACTGGTTAAAATGGCAAGGGAATTCGTTCATATGCGTGTTTATAATTTATTGAACGACTTTGCTAGAGGCAAATGACAAATACGATAATTGGACAGCAAGACAGTTACGTATTTGTGCATCTGTCTTCATTTGGCAACTATAAAAGGATTAGTAGCATAATCATAAACATTTATATACTGATTTGTTATATCATCGAATGTTTATTTTAAAAGCCCAGTTACATTACTAATAAAATGTCAATAAACCGTCTCTCTGTATAGGGAAATATACTGATGTAGCTTGTTAAATGAACCATCCTGAATGAAGGTTTCATAAATGTAACTACTTTTCTGACCATGGGATTAGACAAGGTATAATCATTTTTAAAATGTCCACGTACCTTGAGTTTGGTCATGGAATATGTTTCCTTACTGAATAGACTTAATTTTCTCATTTATGTCCATGGACGAAACAATGCTCGGGTAATCGATTCGAAAGGTCCTGGTATCGATTTCCGATACGACCCATTCAATGCGGTGCTTTCATAGTCATTTCTACTGAGTCAGTTAAAAAAATTGAAATTAAGGTTGCAGACTGATAGTCGCTTACAACTGTTGTAAATAAGAAGATAGTGATCTGCCAGTAAGTTCAGTAGCCATAAAAGAACCATCGAGACATCTCTTGTACGCTTATCGTCTTTCTTACGAGGAAGATAGTTCTGCCACAATGTATCCTGTTCTTACTCGGACATTTTGTAGTTCGAATTCCTGATGAATGGTTTCTTTGGCTTTACACCAACATTGGGACAACTAATTTGGGGTACGTATGGCAATTCCTTCCCAGTCGCTACCCTTTCATTTTTCATGACAATAATCTGTGCATCGCATATACAGGATGTATCATAAATATGTGATTAAGTTATATGATGGATCCCAGAGAGAAAGATAAACAGAGAACCATCCAATTTTGCTTCCGTGCTCACCCAGTTAACGTATAGAGAATTACTCTGAAATAAAAGCAAGTTCTTCCAGTAGCGTAAGTTAGATTTGTGTAAGCCGTTTAGTTTCTATTGTATATGATCACATCATTTGTGTCCACTCTGTAAAGCTGAATTTATACGCAGTAAAATAATTTTCCTTTCGCTATTTCGCTCATTTGACAAGCCAGCTTAATTTTTTTTGTGTTTATATATCGAGCTAAATGAGAAAAGGAACTATATAAGAATAATACAGTTAAAAGAATACGGCGAACGACATAGGCACACATGAAAAAGGCAGAAAAGGCGAACTACCACCAAGATCCATTTCCTCCTAGTGGCTCTAACTGAAGCCCAAATACCAAAACCCTGTCAGGGTAATAAAATATGTCACACTGCATGTGTCAGGAGAGACAGCGATAAGATAAAAGAAATCTCAGAATGTCTTTAGAGCACGGAGCATGAGAGAAAACACGCGAAGGAAATTATGGATTCAGGCAAAAGGTCATTTTGAGAATGTCGTCCGTGAATATCATATGAAATAAAGACTCGACCTTTGTTATCACGATTTTAACAATGTTGTAATTTGTTTCCGTATTTTTTTAGGTGCGTTCATCTCTTTGTGGCAATGGTGCACTGGTGAGTCAACACGTTCTCACAGCGGTGAGTATGGATGTGGCTGACTGCTAGAATGTTGCGCCGTATATTATGGCAAATATTAACCGACGTTTCAGAGGTGCTGCCTCCATAATCAGGGTGATTCATCGCCCTGATGACGGAGGCAGTATGACCTCTGAAACGTTGGTTAACATTGACCAGACTACACAGCGCAACAACCCAGAAGACAGAAATCTCCATACTTACCGCTGTGAAAACCTCAAATCATACATAAAACGTATTTCCTTATAATCTACCTCTCGAAGCCTCTCTTATCACGTTTCCGTTTACTTCTACACAAAGTCGTGTCTGCTGCAAAGTTACAATGGTTAACGGTGTTTGTTCAGAGAATAGTAGAAACCCGCGAATGAATTCATGTGCTGTATTCAGAGTTACTGCATGTTAGAGCAGGTTGTGCAGTAGATTAATTAATGATGTGTTTGCTAATAAGTATTCTCCCACGCAAGAGTTTAGATGCGCACTGTTTCATTTAATATCGTCTTCATGATGACACATTTTTATGTATGAGAATTTTTCTTCGTTTATGTATGACAGTTCTAGGACTGCAGAGGAATTAATGACGGCTGGGAGGGAGTCTATTTCAACATTCGCTCATTGATTTTGCCATAAATTGTTATTCTGCCAGAGCTGAGAGGCGCCAGTCTCCATAATAAAATGAGAAACAGCATCAAACTTTGATACAGTGTGGGTCGCATTTTTCAGTTTGGTTTTATATTTGTTAGGGAGTCACATATGGACGCAGGCAACTAACTACAGTCCACGACTGTAATCTTGAGACTTGCAAAGGAATGCAGGAAGTCCGTAGCGTCGTCCAAGTTGTTTGTTACGTAAGCCGAGATGGCTTCTCCCATGGTCTCTGTATAACGTCTGTTAAATTACAATACTTTGACGTTCTCATAACGTCTTCCTTCTCTGAAACGTAAATAACCCCCTCCCCCCATGGCTGGGTGCAGAAGACACGCAAATAAAAAGGAACGAAAACATTGTTTTCCTGTAGTCCTGCAGAGTCCTTAAATACGCGTAGTCTGTGTACGTATTTTACATGGAAAAAAATATGAGGCCCTCGGGTCTCAGGTACAACACTGTTGCCAGAACAAGCCCCACGCCTCGGTAAATCTGCCGCGATGACCCACTGTACTGGACACGTTTGTAGAATTCTACAATGACGAACCACAACAAATACAACTCGGATCAAAAACACGCCGGTATTAGCCAAGCTGTGCAAAAAAAACCCACTTTTAAATAATATTTTTATAAAATGTTTTAACAATTTGACATATTTAACTTTTTAACCGTTTTAACTAATTTTTAAAATGTTTTAACTTACTTTTATATCATTATTTGTTGACATCGGCAAGATAAAATACGGTCGTTAGTACAATGACATAAAAGCAGGGAATTTGACATGATGATGGCCACATCGAACCGAAACGTGTTGTTTTAGAGAATGGACAGTGAAAAGAGTGCATGAAAAGCGACACGTAGCTGGAATAGGAGTATACGAGAAATGCATGCAAAATGCTGATGGGTAAACTATGGAAAATGCCTACTTGGAAGACCAGTAGCAGATGGGGGGGGAAATACTGTGACGAGTCTTAGGAACATTGGTTTTGAGGTTGGAAGGTCAATGGAACTGGATCAGGTTTGTGTCCTATGGAGGTATTTGATATTAGCGGATTTATTACCACTGATACATTTTTAAAATTATTTTAGTTTACAGATTATTTAAACCTTTTGTTGTACACTCAGACTGTGTTTTCGGGTCGGGTCGGCAATTTTTGTTTTGTATTTTTATTATTTTGAGTGGTTTAATATTTGAGCTCTAGTCTGGTATTTGCATTTTTGCAGTTGTGAAACTTTGATGACAGGAGGTTTAATTAAATAATAGTTAATACATTTAATTAAATTTAATTAATATTGTCTTCGTCACTATTACCAAATGTTCTGTGGTTTATAATGAAATTGAACCTATAAAACAAGTTAATAAATAATCGTGAAGTCCATAGAACAGAGCGTGGATACCAGTAATAAGGAATTAAGGAATGTAAGTAGACGACTGTCACGTGGCATTATTATTGTCTTACGGAACGTAGTGCTAAATATTGTAAATTACCGCCTCGTTCTGTGTGCGAAGCGCACCCGATGTGTGACTTCTCGAATACTCAAGTTCAAAGACACCTCGGGCTAGGGTTGCAGATTAAATAACCCTTGAACTTCAAATGACGAAGTGTGAACTTTTGAAATAAACCTCGTATATTTTACATGTCTTGTTCTGTTGTCACGTGCGACATTTTTGACGAATGTTTGTGAATCTTTAGTGATTGGGGTGGCTGAGATGAGAACAGTCAAAATGAAGGCGAATAGAGACGATCAATAATCTAGACGCTGGACTTCTCGGCGCCATCTCTGTTTGTACCCTTTACCACCCCCTTGCCCTCAACACTGAAAATGTGACTCATATCCGGCTATAGCTTTCCGCTTCATTCTCCTTATAAAAACAGAATTTGTAGGCATCAGTTCACGGACGTTAATGACAGGTTTTATATCGAAACTTAAAAATCGAAAGTCAAGAAGAAAAGTAGTTTGAGCTGCAGTTAGTTCACATACTTTCCGCATTTAAAATTAATATAACCAATCCTTACTACGTACTTCTCCGCATTTAAAATTAATATAACCAATCTTTACTACGTAATTTCTTGTTACTTAGCAACACATTTGTAGGCTGTGCATTTTCCAAGTTTTTCTTGCATGGGGTACCAAATTTTTCTTTGACTTTATCAGGAGTGCCAGTTACAGAAATTTTGAAAATCCCTGATGTAGCGAGTACTGAAGAATATAACGGATATAAACAATGTGATACCTCCCTCGATAGCCCCGAAGATAGAGACAACAAGAACCGCTGAAACGTCGGAAAACTTGCTACAATCCAGAAGATACTCATCGACTGTTATGTATGCCGTGTCTTGTAGGTATTGAGTCACGATAAAAATATCATCTTTAGAGTTTTAAATCAGTTATGGCAACTATTTAAACAGACGTATGCTGTATCTGATTTCCTCCAAAACATAATTTGAAATTGTAATCAATTCATGTACATTTCTTTTACTTATAGTATTTATAAGAGACAAAAGCATTGACCTATTTACAGAAATATGATTAAACGTAACAGATACAAATAAATAATTCAAGAATATTTTATAAGGATGAGAATACACTAAAGAAAATTGCTACACTTTGCTTTACGGTTCATGTATACAAATATTTGTGTAAAAGAATTCGACGCTCCGTATGTTAATATTATGGACGCAGAAAAACTTATACATGTGAAATAAAAATTGAATGATGTATCACAGAATAAATACGGAGCTCCAACATACTTTTGATATTTGCTTCATGTGAGGGCGTGCCAAGAACAGCTTCTAAATTACAACTGTAGCCAATGAAACAATGAGATGCACCATGCTGCGATTACAGTTCGATTACAACACATATGAAAACTTCGTACGGACTATATTTTCAGACGTGTTTTATGGACGTAACTTTTAAACTAACTGAATACGTAGATTGTGCTTGGTCCTGATGATATTTAGTGTAACAATGACTTTTCATTTGTGACCAGACTTCTTGTAATTACTTGTACTTAGTCTTTTTCTTGTTCTTTTTGAATCTTTGGATTAGGCCTTCAGAAATTGTACAGTATGTCCTAAAACAAATAGACAGCTTATACCCACTTGTGATATTTGTTTCATGTGGACTCTAGCCAAGAGCAGCTTCTAAATCACAACTTTGGTCGACGAAACACAGGCTCATGATTTACATGTGCTAACGTAAAAAACAATGAGACAAATATGTTGCAGTTACACTTAAATTACAGTGAATATGAAACCTTTTTATGAATAACAGGCCTGCCAACTTATATTAAATATAAACTACGTTTATATATTAAGTACTTCACTAAATAATTTACTGAATTTATGGATTGTACTTACAGCTAATGGATTTCAATATAATTACTTCTTGCTTCACAGATTATAAGTCATTTTATACCTTTTATGTATTAGGCCCTCTGGCCTGTTCCAATTCAGTTTAAACTTATGAAACTGTGAGTCCTTTGTTAGGTCTCCTTTGTCGGAGGGTTCGCCTATTACAAGGCCTCTGCCTACAGAGGATAGCTCAATACAGAAAAACGCGATATAAATTCATATCTCGAGTGGGATTCGAACCCACGATTCCAATGTTTAAGCGGTCAAGTCCCACCCGTTTATTGCAGTTGTGGGCAGATAAAAGTATTTCTGATAAAATGCATCCAAGTAGGCCTAACCAACTCCATGGTACAAGTCCGATGATTATTCAGCTGGTGAAATAAATTATTTGTTTTTGTGGAACCGAACAATTTACCGTCATGCCCAGAATCTGTCATTGTGACACATTTTAGTCCTGTCTAAAGCAATTCACATGTTCTGTTCGTAGTTATCCATGAAAAATTAAATTGTTTTCCCCCCACCTGCAACTACGCACATCACTCAGCAGAGTATGCGCCAACAGTACATTGCTTGTTGCTCGACAACTTTAAATTTCATAGCGATTTCAAAAGGCTATTACATTTGGTTCAATAGAATTAACAATTTTCACTTTGTGAATTACAACAACTGTCACTTTGTTTAAAGGTTATAGTTAGCAATGGCAATGCTGGTGTGTTTTAGGAAATGCAAGAACTAAATTTATTAGTACCAAAGAGAAATTTCTACAGGATTTCAGCTACTCAACATTGGTTCCGTCTTATCATCACTCTGTAGTTTAGTTACTTTTGGTGGCATATGTTGGCTGTCGTGTTACACTGAATTTCTGTAGTGGCTATGCACGTTGGCAGGCAACAGAGAGAGTAGAGAAAAGCATGACAACATTTCGCTAATGCTGGAGCTTACGAGAGGACGTGTACGGAGTTCGGTCTTGCGTAGTTTTGCCAGCATTGTGTTTTTGTGTTTGACAGGAAATATTTCTTCTTGTTGAACATGGAGCTATTGAACATTGCCTTGTTCTTGGAGATCTCTCTTCTGGCTTTCAGCATCCAACCAGGTGACTTTCTATAGACAAACTTATCCTGAACATTGACATTTTATTGCCTTGATCGTGGAATTGAGATTAATTTGGCAATACACAGGATTTTTATTGTTACATTCATGTTGTATGGACGTATTTTTGTGTTGATCTTAGGAGTAAGATATGAAAAGAAGCTTAGTAATGTAAGAGTTTCTTTCGGTTACTTAACACGGATGCAGTAATGTCGATATTTTGCAACTGTTACTGCAGTAATGTCGATATTTTGCAACTGTCTTCATCGTGGAGATACGATGAATTGAAGAGACTAGTTATGCAAACTGTGTTTGTGTAGTGAGTGTACTATGAGCTATCGCTGCTTGAATTGGCGTTCATTGTGGAGATTTTGTTGCTTTGAATTTTTTCTGTATGTCGTAATCTGGAACACTGTTCACGTCTTTGCAAATCCCTTGTGAAGTTTCGTATTTTCACTACAGAAATTAACCGATATATCGGTAATATAATACGAATTCTTTCGTTACGAAACAACTAAGTGCATTAATAATATTTTGAATCTGATGGTTTTATGTTCATGCATTAAACTTATTTTGACATCGTAAATGAATCTTACACCCGTATAATGCGCTTTTATTAACACGTCCATTAAAATGGCCACTAGTTCTGTCAACCTAAAGGTTATGTTATAAATTAGTTTTTTTAAGATTAATTAATTCCAGTCCATCCAAAGAAGTTACTTAACTGAACTTACGCATCTTTCAAAAGTTATTTTAATGTTGTGTTTATCGGGGAATTGGGAATATAAATACAAGAGCCGATTGAATGTGTTTTATATACCTAGAAACAGAAATGCTAGTTGCTTTATAGTTTCAGTTTCAGATATGTTTTGTAATTTATGGAACGACATGAAAACAAGTATTATTAATAAAATGGCGATAAAGGACAGCCATTTATGTCGGAATCACATGATCAGTTACTTGGTGGGTAAAATGTTTGTCATTACAAACTTCTCAAAATATTAACATTGCCATAAATTTCTGAACACGGCACGTTACTTCTCTATTTACATAGGTTGAAAAGTGTCTGGTTCCACCTACTAGATGAATGAATTTACGTTGTCTTGACGCAAAAGTCTATGAAACGCATATGTGTGAGAGAGAGAGAAAGAGAAAGTGAAAGTGAAAGTAAAAGTAAGTTGACTTGTTACATTTTCCAGTGCTGTGTATAAGTTATGTAGCCTGTAAAATGTACAGTACCGGTATGAATAAGGCTTCAGTTCTGTGAAATCAGAGGTTCTCATGACGATAAGTACGATGACTTTTTCCGGAATATATCACTTCTGTTTGTTTGCTTATTTTCAGTTATTCTTTGGCTCGTGCTTTTTTATATCACTTCTGTTTGTTTGCTTATTTTTAGTTATTCTTTGTCTCGTGCTTTTTAGATTAAATATACAGAACCGAAGGATTGGGATTAAAATTTTGTCTACAATTACCCGGTATCAGGGCAAGGGGCTATAGGATTTTACGAAATAAAAGTTTCGGAAACTAAAACCATTTTTCGAAAAATTCTCTAAATCATATTTATTTGTTTTAAAGGATTGACCTATGCAAATACGGGCATACAATTTAGACGTGAACATCAATTCTAAGGTACTAATTTTACTAAATTTGCAGGCAAACGGAAATATTATTTTAGTGATAGATTTTGGACCTAAGAATTACCGTAGCATGTATATTAAATCTGCAAATCCGTCATCTAGAAACGCGGTCGGTGCTGTATGTTGTTATTCAGGAATTGAAAGGTGTTCACTAGTTCACTTCAGTGATGACAGTCAAGGCTTAGTTGTAAATATTATACATTATTTTTTGCACAAACCTTATATGATACAAAGCTGCTTCTAACCTAACAAGTTCCTCGAGATATTAGCTGTTAACTCCGTTGGCGGCCTGATTTTTTTTAAGTGGCATTGTGCCAGTGTTTATTCTTCATCAGAATCTATAAATAGAGCAGTGTATGTATGCCTGGGCTTGACTGTAGGAATTGGCCATTTTGAATACAAATTGGATCACGGTGACCATGACATTTTTAGGCCTTGCAGGAAGTATTGAAAGAGGCTATACTGCTTCGGGGCCCCATTAATTTAAGTTCGCCGTATGTGATCACTCTCACTTATCATCTGACACCTAATAATCTCTGTTATGTGATTAAATATCAAGTAACGGAGTGGGACCGGTAAAGTCTCTTTAAACTAACGGGCGATATGCTAAAATGTATTAACCTAAAATGCATGTTGGAGAAATTTTGTTAACTGTTACATTCTTATGGCATTGAAAGAACGTCTGCAAAATGGTTCAGGCCCTATCTTAACGGAAAGAAAACAAATGGTCGAAGTAAAATCACCTAAAAACAATCAGAACTTTTTCTGAGACTGAGGAACAATAAAGCATGGATTTCGCAAGGGTCCTTGCTTTTCTTAATGTACCTGCTTAAGTAACCTTCCTCTATCAATAAATACCTTAACAGAACCCATAATATTTTCTGATGACACACATGTCCCTATTTCGAATAAATGTAATAGGTATTGCACTCGGCCGTGTTTAATGAGGGGGTCCGCAGTGGCCGCGCGGTCGCTGGGACCGTGGGTTCGAATCCCACTCAAGCCATGGTTTTTCTGTGTTGTGCTGTCCTGT